CTATATTTTGAGTAGAATCAACTGATTTTGTATCTGCATCAGAACTGCATGTAAATTGCATCCTAACACTCAGGAAAAAAAGCTTACAGAACTGACAGTTCTGTAAATTATATGTGAAAAATAAACTTTTTTTTAAAAATTATTTTATTTTATTTTGGGCAATTTTGCTGGAGTACTTTGTTTCACTTTACCTGAATTTATTTTGTTTACTTACATTTAGTTTATCCACTAAAAATCTTTAGCGAGACCCATTTGAATGCGTCTCTACATGTGACACTTCTAAATAATTCACCTGATTAGGAAAATGCATCTAGAAATCTATCCTTATGAACAGTAATTTCTGTTTCAGAGAACAAATGGTAGACACTGTACCCAGCTGTGTTGGAAGCCTCCCTCATGCCTATCTAGTTCAATTCAGCACTATAACATTCAGCACTATAACTAAAACTCCAAGTTTACAGATACTTTTGAATAAAAGGAAATAATAATACCATGTGCACAGGATGCAATGTTAACATATTATTGTAATCTAAAGGATTTTATATGATCTTTTGGAAGAGTTTTCCAGAAACTATTCAGCCATTCTTTAACTATGTCTCTCGAGTCCACTATAAAACAGTTTTTCCAGCTTTTGAAATTGCAACATAACAATGGAAATTTTCTCGATCAAATGAATAAAAATAATTAACCTCTACAAAAAAGTCAGTAACAAACCTATGTTTGAAATGCTTTTGCCATTTGACCTTTTCCCTTCTGGCTTGGCAGAATGAGCATTTAAGTCTGTGTTATCTTAATTAATTACTATGAAAGAAAAGTTGGAGCAGCAACAGATATTTCCAGCAAGGCTTTATCCTGGTTGATTCATTTCCAGGATTAAAACACAGGTGGAAATGAATTGTCCCATAGAGCATACACATTTAACTCCATTTCAATTTCAGTAGATTAAGTTAAAAAAAACCTAGATGAAAAAGAGCAAGCACTCCTAAACACATACTCTCACGTATAAACACATGATTTATTATAATAACAGAAAATGTTGCTATGAAAATTAACCTTAAATCTTTCCCAGAGTAATAAAATTGAATACACTTTAACCTCTTTCATAATATGTGCCAAATTAATTTCTATGGTCTCTGATTTCACTCGAATGAAATAATTGTTTTATGCCCCAAAGGGCTGAAAATAACTTTTTCCTTGTATGTTTAGAAATCAGCAACAGCTATTCTCCCTAGGAGCATGAGTTCCCTGGTCATTGCAGACCCCTGGTCTCACCATTGTCATTACAGCCTTCCCTCACCCCTGGCACAGGGCAGGGCTCTCTGTGGCCCCAGCTGATTATGAAGAGCCAGGACTGCCAGCAGGAGCTCCTTCACGTGCAATGGCTGTGCACGACCTCTCTCATGGGCACAAGCTGGCACCTCTGTAAAACTGCTGTCACAGGATGCTCTTCCCAAGTACCTACAGCTCCCTCCCACCAAAAGCACCTCAACCTGTCTTTCTGACGACAGACAGCCAAAATCCAACATATTCACCCCAAATCCCTTTCACAGATCGTGCTGGTGGGCAGTGTCAGACACTGTAAGATTGGATCTCATTCTCTCAGATAGTATTTTAAGGGGTGGGATGGAGCAGCACACTGTCTCAATAATTGCAGAGTTAAAGTACAGTTTTCCAGCTCAGATCCCCAAAGTGAGCCTCACAATTCCTGGAAGGGCATGGGTCCAGAGGAGGGTCACAAAGATGCTTAGAGGGATGGAGCACCTCTCCTCTGAGAAGAAACTGTGATAATTGATAAAAGATTCGTGTTAATCACAAAAGTATTGGACCTTGTACAAACCAAAATACTAAGGTCTGAAGTGAAGCACGGACATTAGAAAAAGGAAAATATATGATTAAATCATTCTGTTTTAAATCCCCTTGTTATGAATATTATGTTTTCCAAATAAGTTGTGTCTATTACCAGCGTGCAAAATCAGACTTCCCAATAGTCCTTCCTGCCTTTGTCTGATCAGTGCTGCCTGTCTCAAGGACCAGACTCCCAGAACTTCTCTGGTGGTTATCTACAAGGATCAGATGGTTATCTGTGACTGATTATCACCCAGAGACTTTGTGAATTTGTGTAAGGATGTTTATTCGACCACCACTGCTTACCTGGCAAAATTATGACAGCAAAAAACCAAAAATTATTGACTACAACGAGAGACCATACTATAAGAAGAGGCTGCAAACCAAGGTTTGATGGAGCGTGGAGTGGGCAGTGACCCCTCACGTTCCCCAGCAGTGCTTGCTCTGTCTATATCAAATAAAGCAACCTAAATTTTGCTGAATATCAAGACTTTTGTTTCTCATTTATCACAAGGCTATGAGAATGGAGATTGTTCAGGCTGGAGAAGAGAAGGCTCTGAGGACATGTTATTGCAGCCTTTCAGTACTTAATGGGGATTTATAAGAAAGATGGGGACAAACTTTTAGCAGGGCTTGTTGTTATAGGACAAGGGATAATAGTTTAACACTAAAAGAGGGTAGATTTCGACTATTAGGATGAAGTTTTTTCAGTATGAGGGTGGTCAGACACAGGAACTAATTGCCCAAAGAAGTTGAGGATGCCCCATCCCTTGAAATGCACAACCTGCTCTGGTTGAAGATGTCCCTGCTCATCGCAGGGGAATTGGAGCAGGTGACCTTCAAAGTTCCCTTCAAACTCAAATATTCTATGATTCTGTAATTCTAATCAGCTGCCAGTCCTAACTCCTACTACACCTGCTTCCAGTTTCAATACAGAACAATAAACAGGCCCCATGGGCAGGAACCAAAAGCTATGGCTGGTCCCATCCTACACAGCTGACTAACCACAATATTAGATAAATATTCTGCACTTCTTTCCTGACCTCAGATTTTTCATTTTCCCTTGCTTAAAGGCAGAGATTTAAAAAGGAAGATGAAGGGTGTTCTGTCTTATCCAAGAGATGAGACAGCATAATCTGTCTAAAATACTACATTTTTTACAGCTATAAATAGATGAGTCCTTAGTTCTAAGAGGCAGGTGCCGTGCTCAGGAGAAAGTTCTAGCCATGGGCTGCATGTGGAGACCAGCACTTTCCTAAAGCAACTTCCAAAGCACTAAGAAGGAGTGGATTTAGGAATCACCTTTGCAATGTCTCATAATGCTATTACTAGTCTGCTCCTTGCACAGCATGTGACATTCTCATGTTGTTCAACACTCTAAACTCTCCTCTCTGCACTGTGATTTTGTGTTCTGGATATTAGAAACCTGGGCCTTGCTGTCTGCATGACTGAGAACAGCTCCTATTTCTCACATACTGTATTTAGCCAACAGCATAGATAATAAGTAATACATCAATCTTCAGTGAGCTTTTAGGGAACATATCAAATCTGGAAAACAACATCTCAGATGTGAAATCCCATTATTTAGATTCCTTGGCACAGGCGAAGTAACTCTCCAACATGTTTCTGTGATTAAAGAATAAATCCTTAAAGCTTTTTAAGGTAGTTTTAGCTGTTTTCACATGCTCCAACGCTTCTTCAGTTTCTTCTTTGAAAAGATTTTTGGTGAAAGATATAATCTAAACTAGAATGTAAATAAATGAACCACAGAAAAAAAATTTAAAAGTTACTTTTCAAAATGTAGTCATGACATCGTCAAAAAGTTACTTTTCAATTTATATATAAACACAACATGTATCATATTTTAAAATTTTTGTCTCTAATGATTCTAGTTTTATAATTATCTCATAATGCAATGCTCACATTTGAGGTGCTCCCAGAGCATCCTCAACATGCCCAGCTAGACTGACTCTTACCTATCATCTTCTGAACATTCAGAAAATGACACAGTAAAGGGAGTTTCTTCCTCTCAGAAAAAGTGATTTTGGAAATTTATTCACCTCTTTGACATAACACTGCCATAGCTTTTGGGTACTAATTGTCCAGTAGCATATATTGTGCAAACAAATACAGAAATGGCAATATGAGTCCTCTTAGATCCTATCATTTAGACTTTATCATCTTGCAGAAGGGGGCTTTCCCAACCCTGGAATCACACCTAGCACTCATGCATATATAATGTATAATTCTCCTACTTCCTGACCAACAAAACACTCCAGAACAGTGAACCCTACAGAATGGCTTTGCTTGCCAACATTTAAAAGTGCTCACACCCCCAGCAGTACACTCGGTTTCAGTGGAAGCATGGGGAAAGATTATTGACCACAAAAAATGCCTCAAGGCAGGGCACTCACAGCTTGTTTGCAAAGCCCATATTTTCTTGGCTTGTGCAGCTCTAACCAGCATTTTGAAATTTACAGACAGAAATACTTACTAAGAAATGTGATAAGAGGCAGCAAACTTATACCAACAAAGGAGAGTAAGGAGCAGCAGCTCATCCTGAAAAGGTTATATGACTTCTAGAGAATTTGTTTCATTAGACAAGAAACATATTTTATTCTTAAGTACAAAGTGCCTGTAGGGCTGATGACTATCTGACAACTATTTTTCCATCTCATCTTGAAATCTAATAATCTAAAACCGGTTGAAAGTATCTATAATGTCATTTTGGCATTTATTAGGCAGCTAAAAGACAGATTAAATCCATGTCTTTTTTAATAGTGTCCTGTGTATCAAGTAACATTTATTTATTAGGTATTTAGGTGGTTCACAACCCTTACTTGAAGTTACCTGAGCAATATGTAGGTTGTGGCTACGACTCATGCAGGCGTGCTGTAGAACTCACAGTGGCTCCATATCAGGCAGATGGTGTAAAATAAAGCTGGGAATAAATTACAGATCTTTGGGAATTTCATCTTCCAAAAGAGCTGAATGTATTTTTCCAGTGGTGTCAGATAGAGATCAATATCTTGGGCCTTTACAACTGCTGTAAAAATATAAAAGGGAAAAAGCACTTCAGCTTAAAAGAGGATCATTTCCAAGCTAACCAAGACTCAAGGAATACAAGGTAATTATTTACTTAAAATAGAAAGATATGCAGGTTTTAGTGGCATGTTACAGTTAAGAATTGTTTGAGAAATTGCACGAATGCTCATCAAGTGGCTGTGATGGTTTCCATTCCACTTCTGGTAGCCAAGGCTGCTCAACACCTTTCTAGAATGTTTGTAGTTCCTCTCAATGATGCCAACCACACCAAGGAGAAGCAGGAATCACCACAGATGCCTAGGTCATGGAAATGTGGAATTTCTACCTTGAATGAAAGGAAAATAAGTCTGAAGTCTGCAGGCATTTTAAACAGGGTTAAACAGGCCAGGTCTGGTCACCTGGGGTCTAATTATGTATCAGTTAATACTCCTGACCAATCTGGCACCAAGTGCATCCTGACATTCTGAAAAAGAGCTGTGTTCCAACCTCTGGTGTTATGTTCGATGTCTTGGGCTTTTTCATCAAAGGGGAAAAGGACTCCACACTTTCTTCAAGCTGGAAGTTTAACAAACTTGACAGCTTTTTCTCACAGACTGCAGAAGTTTCTGCTGTTTTGCCCTTCAGCAGGAGGCATGACACACCAGCTCTAGGCTCCTGCTGGCATAGGAGGACCTGGGAAAAATTCAGACTCACACAAGCAGTTTGTTTTGATCTCTGTTCAACATAGGCCTGTTCTTTTCCTGCTCAAAAATTAATTAAAGTGAGAGATGTAGAGCAATGCCAGCCTGTACAGGTGGCAATGTCCTGGTGAGCAATGCTTCCTTTCCATCACCTCGTAGGTGTTCCACATATCTCTGGCTTCAAAACTTTAGAAGAGACTTGAATTTTTTTCATTCTCTCACTGTAGACTACTGGCTAATTAAAGACACCTGATGAAATATAGAAGTTTTAGTCTTTTTTTTCTAGTCATATGTCAACAAAAAAACTGTTTCACTATATTTCAATTCATTAATACAAAATTATGACCTCCATCAAAACCCAAAAATTTTAACACAGGCATTAAAAAAAAATTGTAAACATGTGACTATTTCAGGTTTTGTTACAAACCTTTATCAGTGATCTTTAGCCAGGACAAATATAGGTACAAAAATATTTGTAAGTGTAAGCTTTTTGCAGAACTATTGTCTCCTAGACTGAATAACATTATAGAAGAAGCGGGTATCTCATTATATTTCATTAAAGTTTAATTTTTAAATACAAAGTATTATATTAGCTAATTATTTCTTTATTGCTAACTGCCTTAATTTTTTTAGCAGTAGAATTTATCTATCTACAGATTTACTGCAACTAAAGTATCAAAAACAATGCTGAAAAAGAGAACATACTAATTGATTTTGCTACTTCTATCTCTCTCACCCATTTTTATGATGGGAAAAGTATGCACATAAAGTTTGAAACAAACAAACAAACAAACAAATAATCATCTGAGTCATCACAGTACATAAAAAGCTCCTGCATCTCTTATATAACTTAGCACCATGACTTAAACTCTCACATTAAGACAAATTATGGATTACTTTATTACACTTACACACATAAACACAAATTATACATCTCACTCACTCTACCCTTACAATCTTCTACTTCCTTGAAAATGTCCTGAAAAGCAGGATAACTGCTGTTTTCTTTGGCTTTTAAGAACTTAAATTTTTTTTTATCCAAACAATACTGAAGCTATAATTTTACAAAAGAGAAAGAAAACAGTTGAAGATCATAGTTGCTTGTCAAAAATATAGAACTTACAAGTACACTCAGAGAATTAATGAATAAATATGTCCCAAGCCTACTAGCAAATAAAGACTGATACATGCTGACTGAAATCCTTGGAAAGGTCAAAAAGTGGGAATGAACTGGATTCTTCACAGTTCTCACTCACCTGGCACCATGGCATGGAAACATTGTGAGTAACAAGCAAAAAGAAGAAAATTAAACACAGCTCCCAACAATTTTTGCATTTGGAAACTAAGTAACCTTACCTATATTTGTCAATTAAAGAGAGCTATTTTGCTTCTTACAAGCTATTGTTATTATCATTAATCAACATTGTCTGATTCATGGCCAAATTTGGCAACAATTTCCCGAATATAAACTTTGTTCTCAAACTAATTTTCTCCACAGTGTGAGAAATGTCATGGGAAGAAATTTAAAAGAGATGGACAAGAACAACAGAATCCCTTACAGCTATTTAACCCCTTAACATTATCTTCAACTTCATCATATGTTAAGCTTAGTTTTTCTTTTGTAATTTATGCAAATCCTGATTACTTTGGGAAACAAAACAACATAAAGTCATTGTTTTGGTGCTTCGTTTTTCAAAGTGCATAGAGAAAAGCAATCCAAATGAAAGTTCTACTTGATGTTTGCAATGATACCTGAAATCTCTTACCTGTTTATTTTTAAATAAAATTTTGTCTTTTCTTGCTTTCCAGAAGTTCAGCTCAGTTTGGAGGCCCCTATGAAGACCATGCAGAAGAAGATCAGCAGGATCCCTTCTCACAGTGTCATGAATCTGCTGAGACCACCACTGATTCAACTGCATGTAGCAGTGTCCTGGAATTAGAATCTTGTCTGCAAAATACAAAAGCAGCCCCTGAATTTCAAAGCAAATACTGCCTCATGATAGTACAGAGCTCTTCACTCCCCATTCCTATTTGCACTTTAAGGATGAACAACACTGAAATTTGGAATTTAGTTCTGACTAGAATAAGATTTTTAAAAAGAAAAAAACATGAAGACAGAGCTAAAAGACTGTTTAGAAAGAGACAGATCACATTTCAGCTGTATATATTAAACAACACCATGCCCAAACACCCTCTCAAAAATTATTGGCTGCAGATTCCTTGAATGGTTCCTTACAGTTATTCCAGAAGTGAAAAATCTAAATTTTACTATTTAATTTCCTAATGTTATATGGTAATTTGTTTTTTTGAATAAACATGAGAGTTAACATAAGCATAAAATATGAAATAGATCTTATTTAATATATTTTATTACATTTTGCCAGTGTTTACAAAAAGAGAAACTAAAAATACACAGCAAAGCATTTTAATAAAATATTTATGGAACATTAAAGCTTACATTCTGTTCCACGTTCTATTTTTTCCTTTCACTTAAGCCAATTCATCAGTTCTGCCTCAGTTTCAGCTGAGTTTTTAGTGCTTCCACTGTTCTGCCTGGCACAGCTGCTTCACTGCCATGACACAGAGCAGGGAGCTGACCCTGGCCAAAGCCTTCAGACCATTTGTTATTGACAGGATTATAAACCTTCATTCACCCAACAACTGATTATCAATCATCTCTGGACACAGTCAGTCCCAAACTTAGGTTTGCTTAAGCTGTGAGCTCTCTGGAACACAGCTCATACTATTGCTGTCTCTACAGGTAAGAGAGGCACACCTGAATAATTACTGACACTCTCCTTTTTGATGCCACCCTTTGATATTAGTGTTAGTCTCATCAAAAACAGTAAGATGCCTTTTATTATATCAGCTCACTTCACATTAAATGCTCAAGGCAACACAGAAGTGCAATCTATTGGAAACACATTTAAAAGATAATTCAAGAGAATAAGCCTATTTTGTACTCTCGAATCGTAGCTTCAACTGATTCCAAATTCTGATGACTCTACATCCTGCTAAAGTGAAATTTGAAATTATCAAACCCAAAATAAAAATTCCTGAAAATTCATATTTCAATATGAAAAAACGATTACAGTTTAAAATATACTTTAAAACATCTTTCAGTACCAAACATCAAAATTGACAAGTAACCTTTGACTTACAGAATTCAGGGAGATGAATACTTGCTATGAACTCAGTTTTAGAGCCCTGTGCAGCTTAAGATATGCTGCTATATCCATAATTATTCCCCTGATTCCTTTCTGTGCCAGTGACTTACAAACAAGAAACTGAAAAATAACACAAAAGGAAGCAACAAGGAAAATAGTGATGCAAGTCTGCTTTTGCATGTGGTTACAAACTCATGGTGCCTTTAGCTTGTTTTGACAGTGAAGACATGAACAGCACAAGAGCAACCTCAGCATACAAATAAGTGAGTAAAAATTGCAAAGCAACAGGTAACCAAGAGGGCACAAAAAAGCTGGAGTAGCTAGGATGAAAACCATAGCACTTCTATTTATCTGTTTTAACCACCATCCTTCTCCCAAAATCTAATTTACTAGGGCCTGATAGAGTAACAGTTTCTCCAGTATCTTGAGGCTCAGGCTCCATCCCAGCCTGCCCTGAGCACCACCAGCTGCTCCAGGGCAGCAGGATCTGCTCTCCCAGCAGCCCATCCTCCTCTCCTAAAAGCTCCTGACGTCTGCCACGCTGGTCAGTCCCCATCTCATCCATGAGCAGGGCATGCCTCACACTGCTTCTGTGCTCCCGAGGGACTCAAAAGGCAGACAGTAATTTAACGAGTTCATTTGTGGCTTTATGAAGTAATTTATGCCTCCTTAACACAATAAACTCCTTAAAGTTCATGGACTTCGTAAATCTGATAGGGTTTGGATTTGCTCCAGTATGGAAAAAAGGAGCAAAAATAACATTGTGGGAGGTTATTTTTCTATTTTTGAACACTAAAGCCATGTTATAAGATGTCACAACTAGATTTAAATATCAAAGTTATAAATTATAGTCCTTCTGTACATACTGAGCGAGCAGTAAATTCATGTCAAAACCTGTTATTTCCCTTTCAGTATCTCCTTTGCAAAAGGTTTTAAAATATTTTTAAATAAATTTTTAAGCACTTTGTGTTGACAAATATTTTGTTGTTTTGGTTTGGTTTTGTTATAACACAAACACATGGAAATCGAAAGTTACAAGATACATAAAATAAAAACTTGAGCAGGTAATCTGGGAAATTCTGTCTTTTCTTTGCAGAATATGCTGGTTAAGTAAACAGCCACAGTGCTAGAGATACCACCAAATCTAACATATTCTTTTCCCTAACATCAAATCAAGGAAAAAAACTAATCCCATTCTCATTTGAAGAAGAAACACCTAAGCGAGATGAATGCCTGCATCAGTTTTCACAAAAAGTTAGCCTCCTTAATAAACACAGATTTAGCAATGAACTTACTTGCCAACTTCCTCTTTATGCTAGTCATGATTTGCTCTCAGTCTTTTTCTTTTCCCTACTAATCTTTGAAAAAAAAACCTTGACCTTTCCAAGCTGCCCAACAGTGGATTTGAGATGCATTCAGGTTGCTGTGCTTGAAATCTTTCTGCTTTGATGTTGATGGGAGTTTTGTCATGGGCTTCAATCAGGAAGAGATTTCTGTCCCGGCAGGGGAGTTGTGGTTCTACCCCTGCCCCTATTCATGACCGCTGCCTCTCAAGATCAAACTGAAAACATAATGACCAGCCTGAAATCTGAACACTACTAACAAAGTGCTAGCAGACAAAAAGAATACTTTTCATCTTCCTGTCATCGCTATTGGCATTTTTACACAATATCTGAAATACTGCAGCATAAATGGCACACATTTATCTCCTCTTTGAAACTTCATTTTCTTCCATAAAAATGCTGGGTAATAATTAAAAACTGTTCTGTGAAACCTGATTGGCTTTCCTAGTCTTAAATTTGGGTTTCCCCAAGTCTGAGCTATGCACATGAACCACCACATTCTTCTCCCCCCAACCAACATTTGGACCTGCATCTGTACATCAGAAAATTTTCCACAGAACTGGAGTATTTACACTTAAAAACATGTTATTTTGATGAGCCAAACTTTCTCAAAATTTTGGAAAAGAGACCCCAATAGTCAAGATAAGGACCACAGGCATGATTTGGGATCTAGAAAGAACAGTACAAAATCTTTAATCTATGATGTTGCCTTTTTGTACCAAGTTTAAATCCACTGTTGGTATAAGGCAGAATTTCTAAAGGAATTTTAAGGGAAATCTTATTGCAAGGGTAGGAGATAGACTCAGTTGAAAAGCTGGAAACTAAATACTTCAAGTTAATCCCAGGACATTTACAACACAAAAAATACCCTGGACATTTTGTACCTATACCTAATTCTAAGAGTCTTCTATATATTGTTAATAAAGCAAGAGATTTCTAAAGAGCTTTATGACATGTACTCTATAAGAAGGTGCTTTTCTTTAAGAAAATCTTATACAAGTAATTGTTTTTATATTTAATCCTAATAAGCCTTACATGACACGCTGTCAAATCTTGTGTACAAATCTCTTATGATTTACATTTCAGAAGCAGCACAATTTTAGGAAGACTCTTGCAAAATTAAGTATTCCTTCTATTATTACCTTCTTATGAGTTTTCCTCCTTTATGAGTCGCAAATAATCTTTAATCTTGCAACTTAATAAACTGCTTTTACATCATGTAATCATCAGAGAGATGATTTGAGGTGATGATTCCCTGTGTGCCCAGTTGCTGGTGTGGCAGCCCCACACTTGCTCCCGAAGGAGAGGCAGTTAGTCATCAGTGCCCACCAGGAAAGTGACTCATGCCTCATCTTTCACAGTGACATACACTGGACAAGAAGTGCATCACCTTGCACTGCACTGGGGATGGCTCTGCAGACTTCAACACAAGCAAGAATATATCTTTCATGCAGTAAACAATTTGGATGACAGCAGTCACATCCATTATACAAAAAGCAACAAAAAGAAAGGAAGAGTGACATGCTGCACAGAACTAAGCTTCCAGAAACAAGTCACTTCTGACTTCTGATGATTATATTAGGGTAGCTACTTTTTTTTAAAGTACTTTCATAAGAGTTATTTTGCATCAGTTGTCTCTCGTGCCAGTTAAAATATCATTCTTTTTATTTTCTTTTTCTTTCCTGCTTTATCACAAGTATTCAGATATAAAAACCTCTCCTATGAAGGCCACTGTGTACTGGAGCAGTGTTTGAGCCAGCTCCCCAGACTGAAGGTCCTTCCTGTTGTTCTCATTCAAAGGCATTCCATGATGTTCCTTATAGCACAGCCAGCTTTCTGCACCACCTCATGTGGCACCCAAATCAAGGGAGATGTGGGTTATTGGTTTGACAATACCACTGCCACATTTCTCTTTAGACAGACAAAAGATGAGGAGAGCTTCAGCTGCCTATCAGAGCTCTCCAACAACTGATGCATAATAGCAGCCAGAACCTCAGCATGTTTTGTTTGGACAGAGTGAAGAAAACATCATATATGAATAGGTAAGTTTCAAATCTAATAAATGTTTTCCAGAACACCTATATTACACAAACATACATACTCATTTTTCTTCCTTCTAAACTTGCTTTTCCACCTTCCCTATGGATATTCACTGACTATATAGTCTTATCTTCCAGAGAGCCTAATTGGTAGGTATCAGGTACAGAATCAGGGTCTTCCTTCCAGTTACCAGCAAGTTGCATTTAGGAGATGAGACAAGATTCTCACAGACCTAACTCTGTTGAACTCTATATACTTGACTCAAGTATAACTTAACTATAAATTGAGTTAGTGGGAACTAGAAAACTATTTCCAATAGCATAATTTCATCATAAATTGTGTCTTCATGTCCAAAAATAAACTAACTCTTCAGAATCGTCTTTGCCAGGGCTCTATATTTCATGGCTTGGCAGCTCTGCAAGTTACCGTAATTTCTCTGCTTGCTCAGAAATGCAGAACTGAAATTTCCATTGAAGAAAAATGCTTTTAGCCTACCTGAAAGAGGTAACAGCTATTACTGAGTACAGGCTAAACTGAGTGCTCTCTGGGACCATACCAACAAGAAATTGGTTAATTCTGTCACACCAACAAGCATATACAGCATTAAGTGACTCCTAAAGTGAGGTTGTAGCCCACTGAATGGTATGGGGCAGGGGACTAAGAGGGACAGAGACAGCTTCCCAGGAGAGGAATAATGCCCTTGGAGAAGATCACCCTACTTATGGCACAGGGCAGCAAGTGGAGGTAAGAAATTGCAGGAATCCCTGCCATAGCATAAGCATGACTCCTTTGGGAGAAGGATGGGAGGGAGTAGGGGAGGTGTGCTTTGCACAGCTAAAGTGTTCCCAGATTTTCCTGTTGCACACTACAATAATGAAAACAACTCATTTACTACAAAGATTTTCACTGGGACCAAGTTTTGTGTTTCTAGTTCTCAACCCAGATGTCACAGAGTCAGTACAGCAGAGAAATCAATTACCTTTGTCAAAGTAAACGGTGCAGAAGATCTTCAAAACCATACATGGTTGAGGGAGGAGAGGTCAGGAAGAAAACTGATACTCTAAAGCACCAGTATTTCTACCTCTTGGTTTCTATCAGAGTTAAACTATTCTTAAAACGCATGCAGCTCACTGGATGAGAGATACGGTGATAAAAAGAAAAGGTGCACAAAGAATTAATTTTTGAACTTGCTGTGCTGGTCAAACCAAGGCTGTGAAATCAGTCTGAGATTTTGTCCAGCCCCTGTTCCTTCAAAAAAAGCCAACCAATTTTTTGTTTCAGATTGACACTAAATTCCACCGAGAGACGACAACCTCACTTACTTGGTTGCTGGTCGCTCTTCAGGTTTTCAAAATAACAAAACCTCCGGAACTGAAAATAAGAAACACAACCCCGCTGTATTTTCCCACTACCCACCCCGGGAGAGGGAGAAAGAGCATCCTCTGAAATTCCCTGCGGAAAGCTCCCCATGGGCCGGCAGGAGGCACCCGCGGCGCCAGGTAAAGGGGGCTCGGCCGGGAACGGGGGGCTCGACAAGGGCACAAGGGGGCTCGGCAGGAGAACGAGGGCTCGGCAGGGGAGAGGAGGCTCGGCTAGGGACAGGGGGCTCGGCCGGGGACAGGGGGCTCGGCAGAGGAAAAGGGGGTTTGGCAGGACACAGGAGGCTCGGCAGAGGAAAGGGGGGCTCGGCAGAGGAAAGGAGGGCTTGGCAGGACACAGGAGGCTCGGCACGGAAAGGGGGCTCGGGCCCGGCCCCGCTCACCTGCCGCTGCCGGGGCCGCCTCGGGAGCCGCGCTGGGGGCACGGGGCTCAGCTCCGCTGCCGCCGGCTCAGACATTCATGATCCCCTCTCCGCCCCGTCCCGTCTCCCCGCTCACCGCGTTCCCGTCTCCCTGGGGATGGCTGTCCCCGGCCCCTTCCCGCTGCTGCATCCAGGGCACGGCGCTGCTCCCTCGGCCGGCGGAGCGGAGGCGGCCCGGTCCCTCCGCCGGGACGGCCCCGGGGGCGGGCGGCGGAGCCCGTGCGGGAGGAGCCGGAGGGCACGGCAGCGCGGCGGGATTTCAGGGAATTCGGGATCGTTTACGGCGGCGAGACTCTATGGAGCAACACTGGTGCATTCTCCCCCGCGCTCCCAGGAACGTGTGAAATACGAATCCTTATCTCAATATCCCTCTCCGCAAATGTGTACAAAAGTGCCATAAATTAACTGTTTGTTGCCTGCCCGGACCTGCTCCCCAGCGCGCCCTGGGGGTGCCAGGACAGAGCGTCCGGTGGGAGCTGTTAGACACAAACAAGACCACAAATGTCGGGCTCCCACCCAGGGCTCCAGAACAACCACTGGGACAGATCCCGCCGAATCCCGCTCCCGCGGGGACACAAGGACGAGGGGTCAGGAGGCAGCAATGCCCCGAGAGCAGTTTTATTTGGGCAGCTCTTAGTTAAACTTCAGGCCATGAGAGTAGCAACCGCCTCTTCCACGGCGGTGGGAGGACAGCTGCTTTCTGCAGTTATGCTCACTGTGCAACAAACATTTCCTACCGAGATTTAAAACTGCTCCTCGGCTTGCTTTTTTGCAGAACAAAAAAGAACAGGTCACTAGCGTTTGTCCTCCCAAATTCACAGCTGCTAAAGCTGCCTAACTGTATCTGATCCAGCACAAACAAAACACAGATATTTTCATAATGCATGTTTTGAACCCAGTGAAAGCAAAATATCTGTGAATGTCTGGGAAAAACACCCATTATGTCAACTGCAAGGAAAGTCAGCTTCACTTGGTGTGTGACAGGTTTCTCTCCGAGGTTTCTTCAGTTTGGCACTTACAGGCTGCTCATGTCTCTACCAGCCCATGGTGATCTGCCAAGCTGTAGAGCATCTCTGTAGACAGCCACTCATCCCCGAAAAAGTTGATTTCTGCCACGTAACTAATGCAAAAACACCCTTATAAAATATGTGCCGGCTCTTAGCATGGGCATCTGGAGATCTCTGTGATCATGGAGTTGTTTTCAAGAAAACATCTAGGATGGAACTATGAGTTGAGCACTATTACCAATGTACCTTATAAAGCAGTACTTCTGAGCACAGAGCTCTGTGCTGCCGCATGTGCAGCTCTCTCAGCAGCTGAGCACAAACAGTGAGGCAATGCTCAGCCATCCACCTTGTGCCAGGCTGCTGCCCCACAGACCTTTGGAGCTGGCTTGCTTTCTTTGTGCAGAAAACTGTAGTGCTGCTTGATGAATTTTACTCTCCTCATTTTCCAGCACAGGGGACATACATTTCTTCAGCTGATTTCTTTTCTGTGAGCACCTTTGTTGTTATATTCTAAGAGAAGGCGATTACTTTCCCCTCTGCAGGGGTCAGCCAGAATTCAGCAGTGTTGCTAAGGCTTGGGAGCTTGGCTCTCTCACCATTGCCATCCGTTTGCTTTTCATGCATCACTTGGTCAACATTTAGCAAGTAACCAACTTTCAGAGCACTTTCCACCTTTCTCAAGGAAACAGATTTTTTTTTTTTTAATCTCTTCCTCTTTGGAGACATCGATCTGTGCAGTAAAGCTCCTCACAGCTAACCTTGAACTACATCTCTTTTCTGGAACCACAGAGTGGCAGAGAAAACACCTGTCCTGGTGTAAGTGCAGGAGTTTTTCCAGGCTTCCCCTATCTGTATGAACCTGCCTCTTGGGTCACAGCCAGAAGAGTCTACAAACTTAAATGGGCACTGATGAAAAAATTTCATCTATCTATCTATCTATCTATCTATCTATCTATCTATCTATCTATCTATCTGTCTGTCTGTCTGTCTGTCTGTCTGTCTATCTATCTATCTATCTATCTAATCCATCCATCTATTGAAGGCAAGTAATTTCCCAATTTCCTGTAATGAAATCAAATAAAACATGCTTTAAAGAAAACTCAAAAGACCTGTAATTAAACAAGGATGAAAAATCCTAAAAGTTGACCCAAAGTCTCTTCCTGACTTATGTAACCTCAGTGACTGTCCTCATAATTTGTGCTCAAGCTTTATTTGCTTTATTCTTTCCTGATAATATTTTTGTTTCTTTAAATCTTATCTCAAATATTCAGCAGAAAATCTCCTAGGAGTGCACTTCAGCAAGAGCATGGATAAAAGCTTCAATGCAAATTATCTAGTCAGCTACTGCAGCTGTAGCACAATGAATAGAAATATTCAACATAATATATAGAGTGGATATTTGAATCTCTTAGTTGGCCAGTCAGAAGGACAATTAACAGATTATTAACAGACAAATTCAACAGTAATTTGAGATCGTGATAATACATTTTGAGGGATATAAGGTGACAGTTTACTAGATATACATGAAAAATATATTGATTTATAAGACATTTTATTGAAAATATATTGATCTGTAAGATCTCAGTGAAGTAGTGTAATAGATGCTTTTGTTCTCTGAAATGAAAAAGGTTGGCACCTTCAAAAAATACTTTCCTGATCCTTATTAAAAACTGCTTGTAGATTTTTTGTGGAAAGCTTTATTTAGTTAGTTCACCTGAGGGTCACATGGTACATTCTGTCAAGTCATTCAAATGAAGGGATTCATACAAATTATTGTGGCACATGTATTTTTATTTCTTCAGTGTGACAAAATGGTCATCTCCAAATTCTTTTTCTGAACCTGTGACACATTTGAAATCTGTTATCCTCTTCCACAATAATTTTCATTATTGATTTTCCTCCATGTATCATTGCTGTCCAACTGGTAGGGGTTTGTTGTAATAAATATTTGTTTCAGTCAGCTTCTTTTCACTGCATGTGTTCCTATGAGTTTGCTAGATATCTCCTCAAGACCACAGAGGATGATTTCTTTTCCTCAGTGCCAAGCTGCAAGTGTAAAAATAGAAGACTACCCAAAGGTTTCAATCTTAGTTCCAGAAGAGGCTTCAGGCATTTATTTCAACAAAAGTGAAATTTAGAGATGCCAATGTAGAAGTGTGGATTGTGTTTAATGCAAAAGTCATATTTACTACAATACATGTGAATTACACCACTTGAATGTTTTCAGTAAATTGACATTGGATGCCAGTGAATGTTTTCAGTAAATTGATGTTGGATGCCAATGAAATCAGTTCTGCTCATATTTAAGAGCAGGAGCTTAAATGTATGACTATTTCATGTCTTAAGCTCTTACCATTAAACCAGAGTATTTTTATTCCATCAAGGCTACCAACTTTATTTCTGTGTAGTTTCATGCTGCTATAAAAGAGGAAGTGAAAAAAAGCTGAGGGAAATTGAATTTTTTCTATGTAAGTAGAAAAATCTCTCTGGTTTATGACAATCTGTAAAAATCGGTTGCTTCTCTTAATATAAACAGATGGTAACATCCAGGATGATTGACATTTACTGTGTCCATGCACAGCTCCCAAGGGACTCTACTTTTAACCATATTCTAATCTGTCTGCAAGACCAGCTGTTTAGAGAAATAAACACTGAAAAGGATTTCCACTTTCAAACACCTTTCAATAGTGAATCTACTGAGTACTCTGTGTCTTCTGCTCAACATAAAGAAGCTGCCAGTACCACGTGCAAGACCAGTGTTGTGTCAAAAGTCAAAAGTGTAAAATATAAAGTATATTTGTAAAAGGAAAATCCTACCTATTCTTCACTTCCTTCTAGCTCAACATGGTAACTACTAATGGTAACTACTGCTTTTCCTGACTGCATAGTATCATTTTAGACTCCATTTGGGATCCTTTTAGTTCTTCAGTTTCCTATTTTGTAATGTAATCTTTTTTTTTCTTTCCCCTAATTAAGTGTTTTATCATCCTTCTCATCCCCCTCTCATGTAATTCTTGCCTCCTTCAACTATCTTGACTTCTTTTCCCTTTATGAGCAGCAGTAAACTTTAGTGACTGATGTCAATAAAAGTTGAAGACTTTAGGGAGAAAAGGTACACAACCAGAATCCCGTTTATGCTCCAGCTACATTTTTTTTCTCCTTTAAATAAACACTTCTTCTGCACCTATGGAAGAAGTTTTGGAAGTTACAGAAGTTTCCTCTTAGGAACTGACACAAAATGATGAAAATCTGGCATGTCTAAGCAAAAATTAAAACAATACAAAAGTTAAATATGTGACTGGAAAAAATTACTTCACTTGGTTTAGCTTTCACTTTCTCAGCTTTTTTTCCAGTCACCGGTGTAATTTTGCATATTAATCCCTGAGATTTTTAAAATGTAAGCAGCAGAATCTATATTTGCAAGACTGAAGAACTGATAAAAAGGAGTTAGCAATAGGATAGTGTTTTATATACTTATTGATGTACAAACTCAAGAACCTTTAAGTCCTGAAAGATGTATATGCCCACTTAGCAGACCAACATATTACCTATCAGCATCAGTTTAAGTTAGGAAATTGAGCTGTGAAAGTAAATCAATGCCTCATTAACTGGCTTTTTTTAAAAAATCTGAACGTGTCTAGGTCTATGCAGAGAATGTTTCTCTTGCTACTTGCTTTCAGTAGTTTTAAAAATCTTTCAGAACTTTGACAAATGTGTCAACATCAAAAGGTCAGCCAGCTTTGAGATTGAGCTCTTCCTGGAATTTGGTCCAAGACTTTCCTTTAAAATACATGCAGGTGACACAAAGCAATGCATTCAACTAAAAACAACATAAAAATAAAGGCTTAAGAGAATTTTGATACTTGCTAAGAAAACCATCCAACAAACCATAATAAACTGAACAGAAAAATGCCCATCACTACACCCACGGTAGTTGGGGAAAGCACCACTCTACCCGCTTGTGATAACCTCTGGTCATTTTTAGTGAGGCTCTTCTAGAAAAGGTATCTCACTCTCCTCTTTCCATGGAAGGCATTCTAGCAAGCAAAGATAGCACATGCCAGCTCTAGGTCTCCACAGCACTTCCATTTCCATCGACAAATCTCAAGATATCAGGAAATTATGCAAGTAGCTTTGGAGAAAGGAAAAGGAATGGGAAACAGGGGCATGGAAGGCATTAGGAAGTTCAGTATGAATTAATCCTGATATTTGCTACCTAGCCGGACAGAAAATAAAGCTAATGGAATAAATAGAAAATGTAACTTTTGATAATTTTAGCAATGGTAGTGAATTAATGGTTGTGGACAGAAATATTCAATTTGGTGTCATACTTCATGCTTCCCAGAGTAGAACAATCACATCTGAAGGACTAAAAGGGTAAAACATAATGTGCACATTCGTCCTTATGTAAGAATGTTATTTTCTGATATTGTATATTTGAAATGGTGTAAGCAGAGGACTAGTCTCTTACTAATAATGTAGAATTTGCTTCAAAACACACCAGTGCCACAATACTAAAAAAATTGGTCAATAAAGACATATTAGTTGGTCAGATGCCCATTTACTTTGCATTATGACATAGATTGACTTCAGAAGTTTGACATTCAAATAGAGTTTACTGAGACTTTAACAGGTATTTAATCAAACATATAACGAAGATAATGTAATTTATATCTCAGTTACGAAAAATGATTCTGCTTTGCAGTACAAGGTTAGAAGTCCCAAATTATAAATTCATCTTCTTTTGGAAAATGGAATTAAGTGGCCTTCTTATATGTATATGTGGTGGTTAGGGACATGTTTTAGTGGTGGTATTTACAGTGTTAGCTTTTCAGTGGAGCTCAATGATGTTTAAGGTCTCTTCCAACCGAAATGATCTTGTGATTCTCTGTGTATTTCGTCCTTTGTGAAACAGCATTATTTATTCATTGCAAAAGTATGGTAAACTATACCATAAAAACTTTTAGCATTTAAAAAAAATTGTATAACTTTATCATTAGCAATTTGGCATATCATGGAAGCTATTTTAGTATAACACAATGTAGGAGCCTGTCGACATTTCACTAAGAAAAGCTCAATATATTTTCTATGAATTGAAGTCAGTACTTTCAGGTTTCCCTTTATTTGTTACATTCATTCCCTGTGTGCAATACAGTGACACTTCTATTATTTATCTGTCAAACTGAATTATCTTCCATTTTCTAAATTTGTATTTTATCTCTGTGTGTGTGTGTACATATTCCTTACCTTAGGAAATTTTTCCCTTTGGTGTGTTCAGGAACAACTGTAGCTTCCATTCGCAAGAGCTGAACAAACCCCACAGAATTCATGCTGAGCTAGAATCTGCTGGTTTAATTCCCTGCTGGGAGTCTGCCAGTTAGGAAACGCTGACCAGCAAGTACAGCTCTTAATTACACAAATCCAGAAGCTGCTGCCAACCTTTCCCCATTGAGAAGCATTTGTTTTCTAGTGTTCTTCTTGATGAACAGATTATCATACAAACATTATTTATTGCTGCTTTATATTGTAAGCAATTAAACGAAGAAACCTTTTAAACTCAAGGGAATTTTAATAGGTTACTTGCAAAATGTTATTGCAGGCAACAACTTGTACATGATTTTAGTTCCAAACCCACCAAAAAATTATACAAATCAGCATTGTAAAAGTGTCAGATTAATGCCTTACAGGCTTTGCTGGCAGAATTAATTTCTAAATTCTAGATGTGGGGAAACGTTACTCTCATTTTTTTCCTTTTCCATTTTTTTTTTTTTAGAAAAATTTACAAGTGAAATATTACTACAAAACTTTTTTTTTATAAGGAATTTTTGCAAAACATTTACATTTTTACCATCAACTATTTTTCTGTTTCAAAATCATTATGTAGATTTAATACCCTATGCTGCACATCAATTCTTGCGGGATGACAATTCAGTGACATGCATAAAAAAACACCACAAGGCATTAAAATGAGGACTTAAATACAAATATTGTTGCAATAAAACAGTTATAAAATTGAAAAATAGGACCTAAACATCATGCTTACTTAACTTTGACAAATTAACTTTTTCTCCTAGATTACACACTTTTATTACTGCTCTCGTGAAAGAATGTGATAAATAATGACTTAACACCAATTGCTAATGTAATCGGCAACACATACACAAACCTAACCAAAGAAAGTATATTGTAAGAAAAAAACTATTCTAACACTGGAGTTCTACCATGGTAAATACACTTTGCACTGATAATTACAATAAAGCAAAATTTTTAATGGTGGCAAAGGGAATGAACAGTGAAATGCCATTAAACAAGATACTACAGCACATCTGTGCCCTATTACTTACAACAGCTATATCCCACTGAGTCAAATAAAGGACATTGAAATTTACGATCCTTTTAAGACAGAAAAGTGGATTCAGAATGGTATGCAGAACAGACTGGCAGAATGTTTCTAATTCCAGCGGTAAAATGTGCACCTGCTAACACAAGTTAATGTACTTGAGATGCTATGAAGCCAACCAGATTTAGATTTGGATACATCTATAATAGGGATTCATTGCAGACTAAAAATTACTTCAGTTTCCTATCTGCATACATAAGTATGCATGAAAAAATTACATATGAAATGGTTGTGCAGAATGCTTGTAACTTCAGTTTACAAAACTGTTAACTTTTAGGAAATATTAACATTAGGAAAGTTCTTCTTTGCATAAAGTAATGTAGAGCACTGATTGTGAAGCATAATGATAAAATATATCTTTGACATTTCATTTCCTTTATAATAAAATTAACAGTTAATACTACCTAATGTTCATCTGTATTAAATGTAACACCTAATTGCTTCTGACGTTTTAAATCCAGATACATCAGTTAAGAGTACTTTAAATAAAATATACAAAATAATGTACAAAACCCAACTAAAATTTAAAGACTCTGTTACAAGTCTAAAAAAGCTTTAAGAAACTTGAAATTCATAACCACAGTGTAAAATTGTTTTTCTTTAATCTCAAAGCTTTCTATGTAAACTGAAAGTATAAAATACCCTCAGCTTAGTATTTTGCTACAAAGGGCTGGCCTAAAGTGTACACAGTGTAAACAATGATATTTCTTTTGCTTCAAAAATACAGAAAACACCACAAGATTGATAAATTGTTCAGATGAGAAGTATATGCTCTTTAGGGAATGCACAGGGTACCTGTTATGTCTCTCAAACCAACAGCTACCACACACATTCTTCTTTCATAATTTGCTGGGGAAAGAAAAACATCTTGTTCTTCTTGCACTGTACTTCCTTCAGTTACATTAAAAACATTTTGGTATATAAATCTCCTTAAAAAGTGGTAATGAGAATTTATTAATAAGTGACTGTAGATGTAAAAGGTTATACTTATGACTAGGGGAAGTAATTAAAAATCCTGAGTATGAAATATTTGGCCATCTTTCCTCCTTGTACCTACTGGAATTTTCACATAGAAAATGAAATTTTTGTTGTTGTTTTTTTCCTTTTTTCTTTTTTTTGTTTTTTTTGTTTTTTTATACATTTCCTCTATATTCACTGTCACATCTGAAAATGTAACCAAACCGTTGGAACCAAAATTCATGTCCCAAAAAGATAATATTTCTCTTTTCCCAGTTTTTGTGGTTGGAGGGTCAGTATAAGACTTGATAGGTAACAGGTATTTATTACCAGCCTATGTATTATCCTTGAAGAGGAAGAAGAAATGGTAATATTTAAGGGGAAAGAGAAAATGTTTACTTACTTCTTTTCTCATTAAAATGTGAAAATTATTTTTTTTTCTTTGGCTATTAAGTCAAAGCACAAAGAACTCAGCACATTAACCACAACATGATAAACTAGTATTTACAGCGAGGAGATACTGGACAACAGTCAGTTGTCTGATTGATTTCCATGATTCTAACAAAACAGTCAAACACCTAAGGTCGAGTTTTTAAGATTCAAGTTATCTATGAGTTAGAAATGGGCCACAGATGTTTTAAAATACAGAATCATAGAACCACAGAATGGTTTGGGTTGGAATGGACCTTAAAGATCATCTAGTTCCAACCTCCTTGCCATGGGCAGGGAAACATAAAATGAAATGAATTACCAAAAATTGACACAATTTTTTTTCATTCTACATGAAGATACCATTACTTTTGTAAAACTTATGTTAATATCTTTCTATGGTTTTATCTTTCCTACTGTTTACACTAATTCTACGTAACCTAGCTCTCCACACAAAGAGAGGAATTAGAACTCACTGATTGTCATTTATACACACTACTATAATGTAGTAGTCAAAACTAATCTGAGGCCCACCTCAGAATCACTTTGCAGCATGCATCATTCAGCTGCTATTTGAGTAATTCCAAAACTTGAGAAAAGATGGCCAAAATTAACCAATGTGTTGTATGGAGTGAGCAAAATCCCAAAATATATCCACTGTTGTTCATCCTGTGTTCTGTTTTGCTGTGCCTTATGGGAAAAGGGCGCTCTCACGAGATTATTACAAATTTATGTTAAAAACAAAGTGCCTTCATCAAATGGTATTAATCCTAGTCAAGGCCCACCCAGTTTTACATTGATACTATCTGATTTTATAAACACATTAACATACAGTGCTAAAATAGGGGGGTAAAGTTCACTTAAAATCATTACAGAATATACAGATATATAAACTAAAAAAGTACAGTATGGAAATATTATTCCTCTATCTGTTTATCCAGTCATCAATTTGCGCTGTTTGTATTTTTGAAATTTTTGTCTTGTTGCACCGGTGTACACTTCCCATGCTGACCCTCCAACCTGGAACTTACAGAAGTCATGACTGAAAAAAAGATTTCCTGCTCTGTAATCCACTTTACCAGCCCACTTCCATATCCTGAAAGGTATGTAAACTTAAGTGCAGCACTAGGTGTCCACATAAACGATCCTTTCAGAATTCTTCCATGTTTGTTGAAACATTAGGGGTTGCTGGGTTTGAATCTTGAGAAATGGCAGCAACAGTGACAATTCTTGGAGAACCAAGAACCTCAGTAACTGAAGAGTCCAGTTCTCCTGAGGTAACAATAGCAAGGGCTGTTCCACCACCCTTCTTGTTCTGATGAGTTTTGACATGTTTCGAGAGATGGTCACTTCGCATAAACCTTTTAGAACATTCTGGGCACTCAAATCTCTTTTCACCTTTTAAAAAAGAAAAAGAAAACCAAAATGTTATTAAAAGAGAGCACTGAACACTGCTTGGTCATCTGAATATCACCCTATTCTAATCAACATTCAGCGTGTTTTTAAAAGGACCCATTTTATTTTACATCTCATTTCCAGTTGTGTTCTGTTCACTCACAGGCTTTTGGCCACCTACTCTTCACTACTAGAATGTTCTCAACAAGTATTTGCTACACTGTGATTATCTGATGAGAAGTCTGAATTTTAAGGACATCAGAGTATTTTCATAAACTTCCATAAACCTATCAGAGTGAGGGAGGTAAAAGCACTCAAAGAACAACTTGGTAGCATTTTTTAAGAATACTTCTTTAATTTAGATTAAAGTGATGGGAAGCAAATTCAGAAATATTAATTCCAATGCTCCATGAAGATGTATGGAATCTACATTAAGGGAGACAAATTCAATTTACCAAAAGGTCCCACCACTGTTCAAATGCAATTAGTGCTTAGACATCAGGTGCTGTAATTTGGGGGAGGAGGGACAGGGAGGAGGAGACAGTCTCCTGGGGCTAAAAAGATGAATGCTGATAAAATTTTAAGCTTTTAAAAGGCCAACTTTTCCATTCTGAACTGTTAAGAGAATTTGCTTTATCAGTTCCCATTTGAAACTCTAGGAAATTTCCCAAGAAGACCAAATCTAGTGTATGGACTAGGTTAATAAATTTCTTAAGGACTGAGCTAATCCAAGGGAGGAAACAATAACCCTGGTCCGTGGCCAGTCCTACATGTCTGACCTAAATTTATTACATTTAGATCAGGCACTAGCCAATGTACACCAGCTACCTATGATGAAATGGTCATATTTTTCTAGCCTACACACAAAAGAACAGTTGGAACAGATCCCTTTTTATTTATATGACTTCACAGTCAGCCTAAATTAATGAAAACTGGAATCTATCACTTCCTTGTTTTAAAGTGACTTTATTTACATTTAAGGGCAATTTTCAGCTGACTTAGTAAGTGAGAACCTTGATACCATTGTTTAACTATGGCCACTTCAATTCAGACTTGCTGTACTATGGCTACAGAGAGAGATGACCAACCTGTGTGGGTTCTTCTATGCCTTTGTAACTCATCACTCCTTGTGAATCGCTTGCCACAAAAAATCCAGTTGCAGACAAATGGTCTTTCACCAGTATGCCAGCGCAGATGTGCCCGAAGATGAGATGTCTTGCCATAAACTTTTCCACACCCTTCAATATGGCAGATATGCTGTTTCTTTTTTCCTGGCTCATTGCTGCCTCTAAAAAGATCATATTTAAACAGCTAAGTAGTTATATTCTAAAACATTACCAGCTATTAGGAGAAACATTTCATGCTAATAGAGGCAATTTTAAACCCCGTCTAAAAAAGCCCACACAAATGTACTTTCTAATAGAAAGCATTAAAAATCTAGGCAATATAGGACAATCTCATTCCCAAATGAGGCAAGCTGTGGTAAGATGCTTAAATATATACTGATAAAAGTTACATTTACCTTCCTTCTCCCTCTCTGCAATTAGGACATGAGCAGGCAACTCTTCTCAGTCTCTTGCCAGGCTGCACTTCCTGGTCAGAAGCTTGTTGAGCTTGTTGAAGCTGCACTTGTGTTATCTGATCGGGACTAACAGCACCAATTGCTGCATTAGCAATGCCACCTACTGCTACGGTTACAGGAGCTATTGTGGCTTGCTGTACTTTTACTCCATCCTGTCCTTGCTGTTGACCTGTAAAATAAAAATTGTTTGTACTTTTCATTAGTAATTTCAGTTAAGTGAAATGCACAATAAACTTTATACATTTACATTAGCTGGACAAAAATCCACTTAAGGGAAGCCACAGACAAAATATTGAATCCAGCCATTTTCCTGAAGCACTACCTACTTGCTAGTTTAATGTAACTTGTTATTAAAACAGCACAAGACTGCAAATCACTGACTGATACTAAGAAAAATTAACTAGTTTAACAAATGTATTCTTTTCTTAAAAGCTGAGATAGGCAAAATCTTACACAGAAATATCGTTCAGTCAATTGCCAATTAATGTCTCTCTAAGAACCTTTGAACTACATCTGCATTCAGAAAACTACAATTAGCTAATTAAGAAGTTGCTTTATGGCACTTACAGAATTGTCACTTCTCTTTACAATCTGTCTTGAATCAACATCGAGCCAGAAAGGAACTTCTGAATGAAAAAGAAACTTGTGACTAGATTTGAACAAGCTAACATACCAAAGCTTGAGACTGTTTTTTTCAGGATTCTCTATCACAGGATGGGGTAATCCTGGTTAGATGTATAAATGGGGGGACAAGAAGCAAGAGCAGCCCTGGGGAAAGAGATCTGGGGTTTGGGTTGATGGCAAGCTGTAGATGAGTCAACAGTGTGCCCTGGCAGCCAAAAGGGCCACCTGTACCCTGAGGTGCATCCAGCCAAGTGAGGAAGTGACTGTCCCTCTTCTCTGCACTGATGCAGCCCCACCTCGAGCACTCTGTGCTGGTTTGGGTGCCTTAATGTAAGAAGAATATTAAACTGTTAGAGTGTGTCCAGAGGAGGGGACTAAGAGGACAAAAGATCTCGAGGGCAAGACTTAGAAGGAGTGGCTGAGGTCATTTGGTTTGCTCAGCTGGGAGAAGAGAAGGCTGAGAGGTGACCTCCACACAGTCTGCACCTTCCTCAAGGGAGGCAGTGGAAGAAGAGGTGCTGATCTCCTCTCTCTTCTTTCTGGTGACTAGTGATAGGACATGAGGGAATGGCATGAATCTGCACCAGGGGAAGTTCAGGTGGGCCATTAAGAAAAGGCTCTTCACTGAGAGGGTGGTCGATCACCAGAACAGCCTCCCCAGGGAAGGGACCAAATGAAATTCCAAGACTGACTTGATGAACAAAGAATTCAGCTTCATTGTATAAGTCCATTATCTCATTGCTTTCTTGAGCTAAGGAAATTTAGATTAAAATTTGGATTACTGGCTTGATATTAAAGCAAAATAAACTATTCCAATACAGCTAAGAAGGGTAGTTTCTTGAACAACAAAGTAATATTATGTTTGTTTTAAAAGTTAGTACTATACAATCTTAGGAATTACATGTAACAAACTAAATCTGACACAGAGATATGACTTCCAGTCATAATATAACAACACTGAATGCCAGCCCTCCTAGTAACAGGAATGTGACAAAATATAATTAGATACTGCCATTTTCAAAAATTCACTGCCTTCATACAACTGTGCAATTAAAGGAAATACTATCTCCTTATTTGGAGAGTGTAACAGGCAACCAGAATTCTTTAGAGCAGAATAAAATATTATAAGACATTAAAGTCCTCAGTATTGAGAAATTAATATAAAATGTAGAAATTCCTTGGAGATAACAGGATTCAGAGACATTGAAATGGGTTTTAATGACTTCTGTAGTATCCATAACAGACACCAACAATGGGGATAAGAAGAATGCTCTCTCTGAAGCCTAAAGTGCCCAGCTACTGAGTGAGTTGACACACAGCCCAACATGGGACGATGACTACTTCATTCACATGATTGCTGAAGGGCAATAGGTGCTTGGACAGACTATCTTGCATAACACCATGCTCTGAGCCAGAGATGAAACCTAACACACACCACCTAACACCACCACGTACATGCACATAAGTTAGGACTGAAGAACATCATATACAGAGAACCTCCCAAAGTGATTTGTCATCTAAAGGCCACTGCTGGTTACAGGAAATAGAAAAAAATCTGGTTTCTGCCTAGGTGACTACCAGGTTATTTTCACCTGAAGCACTGACCAAATTTTCCCAGTTATCTCCCTTAGTTTTTGACTGGAAATTGTATCTAATCTGCCTAGATATGAATAAACATTAATTCCTTGTCCTCTTTAGAAGGCCATAAGTACTGACAAAGTGTTTTCAGTTCTCTGAAAAGAACAAGGACAAGCCCGTAAGAGAGTGTCTGAACCCCACTTACTGTTGGTCAGACACTAAAAAAAAACAAACAAAAAATCTAAAAGGCTTCTGGTATCAGCAGCAAAGTAAAAATAATTACAGGCTTAACCTTGAGTGCAGAGGCCCCATACGTTTAGGACAAAACCAAGTCTTTCTTTTCAGAATAGTAATGTACTGGAAATATATATATTTCTCACACTTTAATGGGAAAGAAAAGCACTCATGATAATCCTTGAGGGAGAATATGATAGGGTAAGAAGAACATCATGATATAAATGCAAATAGTAATATCAAGCACTGTGGTCTAACAGTGGGTGAAGAGGATACCAGAGCTTCCAAAGAAAGTACTAGTCCTCGGGCAACTTCTTGTCTGGCTGTTAAGCTGTTGGAACACTGACTGAGTTCTATAAACAGCCAGAGAAAAAAAAAAAGACTAATTTTTTTTATATATCTATGCTTATCCTAACATAATATTAATATGACAATATGATTGCTTGTGATAAAAAACAGTTGCACTTTCTGGTGAGCCAAAGGTAACTGAAAAGGAGGAACTTGCTCAACGTGCAGTCTTTTGCAGAGCACAATCCACTCTCCATCTGTTAAACATACCCAAGATGCAAACTCCTTTAATTCACAGAGCAGCACTATAAATGAAGGCTCTGTGAATGGTCACTACAGAAGTTAAGGATATAATAGATATTATGGCCTACTGCAGCCTCCTGTTCTATTTTCTTTATCAGTCACATTTTTGAGTACATTGTTAAGAATTACACTTTTTTATTACTGTCTGTTAGAAGGATGACTCCATCTATACCACAAAGTCCAATTGGAACAAAGAAGTCCTGAGACCTAAACAGTCTCTGTGGTCAGAACTCAGTTGAAGAGGATGATTATCTCTTTCTCTCTGATTTTCTTGAATTGATATTAAAGTTTTGATGCAACCTTTCCCTAGGCTGGTGGCCTGACGTGACTTTATGATGTGGTATCCTGGTATCCCCATCATCTGTATTTTTACTCAGAAGTGGGCCCTGTAGCTCTAAACTAGGCCCAGAGAGACAGAGAAAGTGAAGAGGGAGTAGAAGATGCACACTGTTTATCTGCAGAAGCTTCATTTTTACTCCCCTGAAAGTCCTTTCCTCACAGACTGTGCTGCTTAGCACCGGCAGTAAAAGAAAAATAAAATTCTCAGAGTGCTCTTGGAGTTTGCAGCCCTGTAGCCGGAAGAGAAAATGGAGAGTATTTCTTTACTTTTAAACTAGCTTCTAGTTCATTAGCCAAGACAAAAAGTTTTTCTCTAGGCTGTGGCTTCTTCAGAGGAACTGTTCAACTCTGGTCCAGTCCAGAAGACCAGCACCTAGAACCCATGCCAGCAAACCCCAGCTTGGAGAGGCACCCCCCTCCACCCCTTGGATGCTACCTTGCCAGCTCTTAACCTGACAAAAGCCATACCTACAAAAAGGACTTTAGATTCTGAATGTCTCATCTCTTCAGAGCAACAAGAAGTTTTATTGTTTAATAATATTCATTTTTTTCATGTTTGTGAATACTTTGCTCATTAAATAAACAGCTTTTTCCACTTCTCTTGAAGAAAATTTACCACCTGAACTGGTTAGGGGAGGGATCGCTTAAATCTACTTTCTAAAGAGACCATTCAAAAGTTTCCTCCCTAAATTTACTGTAAATTGAGACAGCTGCCAAACTAAGGCTCTTCAAGAAAGATGTGAATTGAGACACTTGAACCCTGAGAAGGATGACTCCTTTACTCATCCCATGATTACTGGTTAAAATTCAGGATATAATTCTAGAATATGACCAATCCACATTTATAGAGAAGCCTGTTCAGCATCTCTAAAAATCCAATGTATTTTGCTGATTCCAACCTTCACTGTCCAAGTAATGAGATGAGCTGTTGGAACCCTAAGGCCTGGGAGTTTTGAACTTTCTGTGCTTTCTAGCACTGGCCCCTCAGGAGAACACCGCTTTTGACTTGAGGCCTTAGAGAAGGCTTCCAAATTTGACTGATAGAGTTGGAATCCCTGGTATGTAGTTTGAATAGAAGTGTGTAATATCACATGGTAAAGGGTTTGGAATTTGGGGTTTTAGAATATAGTAGTAATAGGTATGGGACAAGATAGAGATTCTTGGGCGGTGGCTTCTTCCTTCTTGTTCCTTCTTCTTCTTGATTTTAGGTATTAGTTTGATAGAAAGTACCGCAGTGTGAGCCACAGGTGTTTGGTCATTGGGTCAAAAGTATAAATAATATAGATGTTAGTTTTTAATTGGACAGTTAGGCCTTAAAAGACCTTGTAACAAGCAAGTTACAGCTCCATTTTCTTGCTTTTAGCTTGTTAGCTAGAGGTGCTGTAGAACTCACTGTACTTTAGATAAAAAATAATAAACAACTGAGTGCGAACACGAAAATCCTGTCTCTCGTGTTCCAATCTTGACTCTGAGTGAAGGCAGAGGAAAAAAGAAGCCAGCCATTAATAATGAGCAACTACACAAGGCTGTTCTGACACTTCTTCAGAATATCAAGTACCACTGCTGACACACACTATACCTTTCTGAACTTTCCTTCTCCCATGTGAGGACAGGGCATATTTTGGAATACAGGATGCACACTACTGAGCTACAGCCTTAATCTATTCATTAAACATAATACAGTGACACATTTGCGTAGAAGTTCTTCACAATAACCATAAAAATGACAATAAAAATACAAAGGGGACAATGCTAAGTCAGGTTGCTCAGGCAGACAATAATATGCCCCATATGGTTTCAGTT